ACATTTTTGCAAACGGTTTCCAGTTTAGGAACGTTGCCCATTCAAACACTTTAAAGAGTGAAAAGAGTCTCACCTTTCTTTCTGTAGAGGTTTTTGAACAGGAACAGGAGGAAAATAAATATGACTCCAAAAATGAGTCCAGTGATCATCAGAAGAAGAAATGAAGAACTGGACACAGCTACTGCAAATAAGAAAAATGAACTGTTAACTTTAATAAACTGAACTGAACTTGCTGTTTAAATTCTCAGGGATTTATATCTGCTATCACTCTCAAACCAGGGAATTTTATACATGTTAGGCATTTGTGTTAACCACAGTATTGTTGAAAAAAAAAATACATGCCTGTTTTAAGATCATATTATAGTGCAGTAGACAAGGTATCTACTATAAATATATTTGGATAAGCCACCTACAATAGATCATGAAAAATAAAATGTTTTGATCCTGCTCACCTTTAACTGACATCCAGCTCTGTGCTGACTCTCTTCCTGAGTACTGACACTTGTAGAAACCTTCATCAGACTTTGACACTGCAGAGATATTCAGCTCCCCTCGGGTATCATTTTGAATAATTTTGTCATTGTGATAAAACATCACATTGGAAAGTATTTTCTCTCTTGAACTGCAGCTCAGACTAACAGATGTTTCTTCAGTCACAGGATGAACAGGACTCACCAGGATAGGATCAGAATCTGCAAAACAGGCAAATCACATTAGTTCTGGTCACACTATTAGGGATGGAAAGAGCCTTAACAACAACAACAACAAACTGAATTGCACAAAGTTAGAGTTTTTAAAACCCTCCTGTCGTGTTCACCTCCCACCCCTTACTTTAGTGTTCACGGTCACGGTTTTAACTGCTCTTAAATTAGCACAAAAGACATTTTTGAAAACCTAACTCAGTTCTTGTGGATCTTTCAGTGAATCTTTTGGTGGTCATTCGCTGGGCCATTCAGGGGGTCATTCAGTGGATCATTCAGTGAGTGAGCGAGTGAGTGGATTCCCATTCATTTCCTATGGTGGTCACTTTTGATGGGGAACACCACAGGTTTAACAAGGTTGATTAAAACACTCAAAATTCAATGAGAGAGGTGATCATCACTTTTTATGTTCTCAGCTTTAGTCACTGATCACTTTATGGTCTCTGTGTTGTCTGTGTTTCTGTCTTTCAGTATTCCCATACCTTCCTCTCTCCTCCTTGTGTTAAATTAGTCTTCTTTCTCTATCTAGTTGTCTTCTTTCCTTTTTTTAGTTACAGTTTGATCTTGTTTATCTTGTCTAGTTTTATTTCCTGTCCTTATTCTCAGGAATTTCTTGATTGTTTTCAGTTGTGTCTGGTTCCCTGCTTGTTTCATTTCCCCTCACTATCTCTTGTATATAGTTTTTTATTTTTATCTTTTCTTGTTTCGTCTGTGGAGGTGTGTGTTACCTAGGTATGCTTTCCGTGTGCTTCATGAGTGCTCCACATTATTTCTGATATTTGGATTGCATCATTTCTTTATTTACTTTGGATTTTGAATGTTGGAAATCCCAAGACTAATCAGCTTTTTTTTTAAATGAAAAATGAAAAATCACTGTGTTATCCACATGTTTCCTGTGTCCTGCCTGTGAGTCTGCAATATAAATTTAGTGTACCAGATTTTTTAACTTTGGAGTTTTTTGTAGGAAGGAGTCTAGGCAGAGAAGTGCAGACTTCCTTCCCCGGGCCACTCTTCTATGGGCTCACTGTTGTTGTACAGGGACTGAATACGCTGTGACAACAGGCAGGGTACCCCAAGAGATGTGATCAAATGCATTCTCTAAATCCATCAAGCAAATGTAAATTGGTTGGGTAAATTGCCGCTGACAACATAGCTCCTAGGATTACTGGAATCCACAAACCCCTCCACTGTGATAAAGTGGAAATTCACAGAGGGGAATTTTCTGAACCACTGAGGAAAATATTTAGGTCTTCTTTGCCACATACAATGACTTACACCAGGTTATTGGGGTAATCATTTACATACCGTGTACAGATATGTTGACTGCATTGCTGAAGTCTCCTGATTCAGATTCACACCAGTACACTGCAGTATCTGACTCTGATGTGTTGATGTTACATGTGGATCCAGTCATTCTGCTCCAGTTAGAAGAGTTCAGTTGGCCATTATCAGAAAACCACCTCATTCTCGTCTTGGCAGAGTTTCCCTCACAGGTCAGTGAGACAGAGTCAGAGGTGAAGTGTTGCACTCTGTCAGGACTCACTGTGAGAGACGCTGCTGAATGAACATCTGAAAACAACATGCAGCGAAGAGTCAAAGCTCAGAGATGTTAAATATTATTTGAATTTATCTGGGGTTTTTTTTTACTATGTGCTAATAAGTTATAAGTTAACAAGATGTTCGTTTTGGTCAACCTAAAAATTGTACCCTGGATAAGAATGGCAGCATTGTTATGTGTACAAATAAATAAATAAAAAAATCTCAAACAACACTATTCAAAACCTTGAGCCATGCCTCATTTCTTAATAGTTTGCAAGGAAAACGGGAAATGGAAACATGCAAACATAAATGAATGTATCATATATAAGACAAGGATTGTGTGTATTACCACCTTTATTTTTTAACATAACCTGAACTCTTGTAGGCAAAATGTCTTGTAATTTATTTAACTAGTCCTCCGGAATAGTACTTAAAGAAGTTAAAATGATGCCAAACAGACTACCAGTGTCGTAAAAGAATATCTGGATAGAAAAACACACAGCGGTCTCTGTTGGGAACCCTATCAAATTGTTTATTGTATGAAGAATAAACAAGTGCATCTCCATTATTATCTAACATGCATATATGTATATACACACACCAACACACACACAGGTACACACGTGGACACAAATACATGTATACATATACACATGCATACATCAACCAATGAGATAAAACACCAGAATAGCTAAAACAGAATAAAAGCGGTGTCAAAGAGATCCGAAAGCCTTTGAAAATAGATAGGTCGTCAAACTTGATTTGAAAATGACAAAAGAGGAAGAGGATTTTATAAAAGAGGGAAGACTGTTGCAGAGTCTCGGAGCAGCGATGGAGGAAGCCCTGTCACCTCTGGATTTTAACTGGGAGCGTGGAACCAGTAAAAGCATCTGACTGGAGGAACACAGAGTTCGAGTGGGTAGGTGCAGGCTAAGGAGAGCTGAAATGTAAGCTGGAGCCATGGAGGGCTTTAAAAACAAATAATAAAACCTTGAAATCAATTTGGTATTTAACTGGCAGCCAATGTAAAGCTGTAAGTATCGGAGTGATACTGTCTCTCTTTCTCGTATCCGTCAGGAGCCTTGTGGCTGCATTTTGAACAAGTTGCAGGCGGGACAGGCTTGATTGACAGACGCGTAAATAAAGAGAGTTACAGTATTCAAGATGTGATGAAATAAAGGCATGGATAACGGTTTCCAGATCTTTAGATGACAAGATAGTTTTGAGTTTAGAAATGCTCCTGAGCTGGAAGAAACTGCCACAAACAACTGAATTTCTTTGTTTGTACAGCTTGAGGGTAGAATCAAAAATGAAAACAAGATTTTTAACATGGGGATGTAGATTACCTGATCGTGGGCCCAAGTCATTTCTTATGAGACTAACAGAATCTTGGTTGCCAAAAATTCTAATGTCACTTTTGTCATGGTTTAGTTTGAGAAAGTTCAAAGACATCCAGCAATTTATGTCACTAAGACAATCTTAAACTTTCTGCAATGTGCTATCAACGCCTGGTTTTAAAGAGAGATGTGTATCATCTGGATTAGAGTGATAGGAAATTTGGTGTGTCTGAAAAATAGAGCCTAATGGGAGCATGTATAGGGAGAATAAGACAGGGCCCAGAATAGAGCCCTGAGGTATTCCACAAGCAAGTGTAGCAGGGCAAGAGTATTTATGGAGCTTGCAAAAAAAAGAGTCTGGACTTCTTTAAGTTACTTGAAGACGTTTCACCTCTCATCCGAGAGGCTTCTTCAGTTCTAAGGTCAAATGGTGGAGAGTCCCAGATATAAACCTGGTGGGAGTGTCCCCCCACAGAGGGACAAAGGACCCCCTGATGATCCTCTAATCGCCTGAGCCAAGGTGTGGAACTGGGTGTGGGTCCCAATCAGCCAGAGTTTCGGGTGAGTTCATTGTGAAACCTGGCCCCACCTTATCATGCAAATTCCTGAGGTCAGATGGCCCAGGGTGTGAGTGGGCGTTAAGGCGTCTGGGAAGGGATCTCAAAACTGGATTATAGATGGCAGAGAGTTGGTGTCGTAAACCACCGCCTCTGTTCAAAGATGGTCGCTCACAGTGGACACAGATGGCTTCTTTCACTACTCTTTCAAGCCATCTGTCCTCTCTGTCCAATATGTGAACATTGGCATCCTCAAAAGAGTGTCCTTTATCCTTAAGATGCAGATGGACTGCTGAGTCTTGTCCTGTGGAGGTGGCTCTTCTGTGTTGTGCCATGCACTTGTGAAGTGGCTGTTTGGTCTCTCCAATGTAGAGGTCTGGGCATTCCTCGCTGCACTGTACGGCATACACCACATTTTGTCTCTCTGTGGGGGGACACTCCCACCAGGTTTATATCTGGGACTCTCCACCATTTGACCTTAGAACTGAAGAACCTCTCGGATGAGAGGTGAAACGTCTTCAAGTAACTTAAAGAAGTCCAGACGCTTTTCTTTGCAAGCTCCTTTGAATCAGATGAAATATACTGTACTATTCATCACCGTCTACTTTGGGTTAAATACACCAAGGATATTTTTTGAAACCATTTAAAATTTTTATACAGTCACATAAAGTAACATCTGTTATGTTTCCAGTCAAAAGTGACCGGGAATATTTCATTTGTGTACATCTGACCCTTGTCTGACTAGTTTCTGCATCCCAGAAACTGCTGGTAAATTCATTTCTGGATCTATACACATCACTCAAAATCAAAAGATCCATATATGCTTTGGTGTCTTTCTGGGTTACCTCCTTCCAATTCTTTTTGCAAATCTGTTTCCCCTCCAAGTTGGTCATGTTTACCACTGGGTTTGATGGACCCAGTCCAGAATAGTTCAAAGCACGATTTGATGTCATCAATACAGGACACAATACATTATGTAGGTGCTATGGTCATCCTGATGACATTTTCAGCTGAAAACTAACTTAATTCTCAGGTGGGGATAGGTTCCCATTCTTTTACTTGAATCTGACAGCAAACTCTTCATCACTGGATTCCTCCTGATCAGTCATTTCTTGGTCTGGATTACACAAATTATGTTCCCTGCCGTCTTCAGCTTCTGACACTTCCTTATCTAATCCATCCTCACTGTCAATTTCCTGGCCTCATTTGTCCTCACTAATGTGGTGATCAAAGAGCCTCACATAGGGTATATCAACCTGCCATGATGTTGCCAAACAGTGACCTTTGAGTAAGACCTCAAAAAAGCATTATACATCAAAGCTACAAGAACAGTTCAGTGCTGTTGAAACAATGTTGCAGCTGTCTGTGAGAAATGCAAACACAGGAGTTGTTTCCATGGAAGAGAGGCTCTAGTGGACAGCAATTACCAGAGTGGCTACCAATGAACCCAAGGTGCTTGTATGTGTGTGTATATATGCAAATGTATGGGTGTGTATGTCCAACTATTAAATCGGTGAATTTGACCAGAATGCAACATGAGAGTTAAAAACGACAAGAAAGTCTGACTGAAAAATGAGGAGTGGCTCATAACTTTTGCACATTGCTGTATATTCATTTTCTCTTTTTTGCTATTACTGTAATTGATGAAGGAAAGAGTTACAAAACAAGGAACAAGTAAATTCAGTCTGGCTTGATCATAGTCAGAAATGACATAACTTCAGCTCATTGGAATAAACAGAAACAAACTGACCTGCAGACCAGACAAACTTTGGTCGACTGTGATCAGTGTGATACTCTGGGTCTCCTCTTCCAGCTCTGCACACATATCCTGCTGTGTGTGTCTGTCCATGAATGATGTAGGAGTCCTGTGCAGTCCCACTGCCATCAGGTAGCAGCTCATAACTGGAGGATTTCTCTGATAGATCAGGAACAGCTTTATACCAGTAGAAGCTCCATCCTGCAGACGGATGTTCAACCTCACAGTTCAGAGTTACTGAGGCTCCAGGACTCAGCCATGATGGAGACACAGTGAGGACAGGACGGGGTTGATCTGCTTGAAAGACATTTCCCATTATGAAAACACATTACAGTGTGAAAATGATATAGTTTATTTTATCTTAGTCCATTTAACTATCACACTTTTGTCAGTTCATAAATTATTATTTTCCTGTGATCTGCATATTGCTTCTCTCAGACGTACTGATCATAACAACAGATTTACCAGAAAACACAAGACTTCTTATTAGTGTAAGGTTCAGATGCCAGACCTCACAGGAGGAGATGCACATCAGCTGACAAACAGAAAATCTCACAAATCACATCATCAATAAAACAAACTTAATCATCAGGTTTTTGCATATCCAGACACACACACACATGCATTCTTTGCATTCTGATTTTCTTCCCATATAAATGAGCTCAGATTCTGCTTAGAGTAATATTTAGTATCAGACCAAATCCGTCGGTCAGTCCGTAATAAACTGGCTCTCTTTGCAGTGTATTATCATCTTAAGATGCAAGCCTCCTGCTTGAGCTGTCTGGAGGTGATTGTGGGTGCTGAGGATGGTAGTAATAACCAAAGTAACGCAGGAACAATATTATTGATGTTTTTCTTCATCATTTATGTGTTTTGTGTTAAACACTTAAAGTTATAGTGAAACAGACAGTGTGTTTCTGTGTGTTTTATTTATTTTGTATGAGATGATAAGGCAGGATGACTTTTATTCTTTTTTTGAGCGAAATCATAATTGTTTTCATAGTTACAGGGAGTTTGAAATTACAAATGGCTAGTTTATTTATTTCAATATTGTACTACGTGAGGAAGCAGCATATCAGCATTGCTCTCCGATACCCTCCGTATCCCTCCCTAAAACTCCTCTTAAAAACACAGCAACAAATATCAATACCTCACAAAATGGAACATGGGATGTGGGAACACACAGAGGCCAGCAGGTGGATGAGAGAAAGGGGAGGCTAGAGGAGAGACCCGAGGCGGCCGTCGGTCCGAGTGTCAGGTGAACTGAACTTTAAACACAGTAAAACAAGAAACATGATGAGGGAGTGGAAGAGAGGCAGACGAGATGGAGCAAGGGAACATGAGGGAGAGCACAGACACGATGGGCTGGGGAAACATGAATGGGAGTGGAAAAAAAACATTCTTCCCCTACTGGTGGAAAAATTTACCATGTCGACCAATCAAAAAATGATATGGCAACATGTGGCATTTGGTTGTTTAGGAAGAGGGGGAAGTTTTGGGAGTGGCACCAGCGAGAGAAAGCGAGTTTTGATACGTGATAGATTTGTAACGTTTACTGTGTTTGGAGTCTCAAGTTAGTGTCATGGAACAGACATATTATAGTTGTTTAAGAAGTGTTACTACCACCTAGTGGTAACTAAGCAGAATGTCTTTT